GAAAGGGAAAGGGAAAGGGAAAGGGAAAGGGAAAGGGAAAGGGAAAGAAAGAGAAAGAGGAAGAAAGAGAAAGAAAGAGGAACAGGAAGAGAAAGAAAGAGAAAGAGGAAGAAAAAGAGAAAGGAAGAGGAAGAGGAAGAGGAAGAGGAAGAGGAAGAGGAAGAGGAAGGAGGGGAAAAGAAAAAAGAAAAAATAAATAAAAAAGAAAAAAAGGAAAAGACAAAAAAGGAAAAGAAGAAAATGGAAAAGAAAAAGGTGAAGAAGAAAAAGGATAAAAAGAAGGATAAAAAGAAGAAAAAGAAAAGGAGAAAAGAAAAGAAGCAAGAGGAGAGGAGAGGAGAGGAGAGGAGAGGAGAGGAGAGGAGAGGAGAGGAGAGGAGAGGAGAGGAGAGAAAAAAGAAAAAGGAGAAAATCAAAAGGGAAAGGAAAAGCAAGGAATGAAACATAAAAAGGAAAATAATAAACAGGAAAAATAAAATAAAAAATGAAATAAAATAAAAGAAAAATAAATTAAAAGAGAAATAAAACGCATAATGTAAAAATTAAAAATTCAAAGAATTAAAAATAAAAGGATAGAAAGTAAAAGACATAATAAAAATTTAAAAAATCAAAAAGTAAAATTCAAATATAATGAAAAATTAATAAAAAATAAAATTAAATTAAAAATAAATTATAAAGTAAAAATAAATTTAAAAATAAATAAAATGAAAACGTAAAAAATTAGTCACAACAACAGGAAAGAAAAATTAAAACAAATAGCAGAAGAAAGAAGAGGGAGAGCCGTGAGGTCCTTCCCGCACCCAGCACCCAGTGCCCCCCTCCCGCTGCCCCCCAGGGGTTTTCTCAACCCCAGCTGCTTGTGGCCACCCCCCCCCCAGGACCCAGGGTCCCCCCGGACAGAGGTGACACCCCCCGCCCCCCCGCCGGTGTCCCCGCGGTTACCTCGGGGGGCCGAGTCCTGCGGCGCGGGCGGGCGGGCGGCTGCCCCGGGGGAAGGGGGGCGCAGGGGGGACCCCGCTGGGGGGGCAGAGCCACGGGGACAGGGAGGGACAGTGCCACGGGGACAGCGGGGGGCAATGCAGGGAGCAGGGATGAGGTAGCGAGGGGGAGGCGCGGGCAGGGGGGAGGCTGCGGCTGCAGCCCGGCCAGAGGGGCTGTGCCCAGGGAGGGGGACGGGGCCAGGAGCCGGGGCACGGAAGGTCCCGCTCGTCCCCGGGGCGGGGGGCGCTGGGGCCGCCACTGCGCCAGGCAGATGCCAGGTCAGCCCTGCTGCAAATGTACAGAAGCACCATAAAAACCGGCAAAAAGAATAGAAAAGGGAGGAAGAAATAATAAAAGAGCAGAAGCGCTGGCGGGGAGGGCGGGGGAGAGGCAGGGGAGCCCTCGTGGTGCCGAATCCCCCCGGCTCGTGCCACGGCACGACCCACCCGCGGCTGTTCCCCCCCACCCAATTTGTGCACCCCAGGGCAGAGCCCAGCTCTGCTCCCCTTTTCGGGGCAAAAGAAAGTGGGATTTAGGCACTTTCTTCCATCTGACCTGTGCAAATTAAAGTTGGAGACAGACCCTTGGCAGCCAAAGGGCTCGGGGGTCTCTGGGCTCCCTGAAGCTTTTCCCTGCACCTTCCTGGCACCTCCAGCCCAAATTCTGCTACACCCGGGCAAGGGACCCTGAAGGCAGCATGGTTCCCATGGGAATGGCAGGATGGGAATGTGGCAGTGGCTGCATGGATGCTGAACATCCTCTCCTGCTGCCCTCAGGATGCTGCTCCTCTCCCAGGGGTGCTGAGCATCTCCTCCTCCTTCTGCTCCCAGGATGCTGCTCCTATCCCAGGGATACCGAACATCCTCTCCTCCTGCTGCCCCCAGGATGCTGCTCCTCTCCCAGGGATGCTGAGCATCTCCTCTTGCTGCTCCTGGGATGCTGCTCCTCTCCCAGGGATACTGAGCATCATTCCACCCACTGCCCCCAGGACGCTGCTCCTATCCCAGGGATGCTGAGCACCTCCTCCTGCTCTTCCCGGGATGCTGCTCCTCTCCCAGGAATGCTGAACATCTCTCCCGCGCAGGGGGGTTGTTTTACAGCCGGACTGACACACGGGGAGGATGCCCGGCTTGGGGACACGGGGCGCTGGCGGCCTTACCTTGTCCGCTCGGTTCCCGGCGGGAAGCCGAAGCTGGTGGGAGGCGGGGAAGGCGTGGCTGAAATCTCCGGCGACTGCTCGGGAATGGGCGAGTGGGGCGTGGGGGGCAGCTCGGCGGGCGGCGCGGGGGGCTGGGCGGACGGAGGGGCGGAGGATGCCTTGCGTCCCGCGGAGGTGCCTCGGCGAGCCACCCACGAGGTGTCCATCACCCTGACGCCCATGCTGGGGGCACACAGAGACAGGGGCTCGGCACCCACCCGGCGGGAGGGCACCGCCAGCACCACGTCGCGGCTCCTTAAAGGTGCCTGGTCCCTAAAAACGCCTCCTCCATTGGGAAACGCTTGGGAATAAACCCAGGGCAGGGTGGGACGTGCTTGCGTCTCCCACCGGCCACCTCTCCCTTCCCTGAGTACCAGCACGCAGCAGCATTGTCCCAGCACCCAGCCAGCACCCTGCCAGCATCCCAGCAGCTTCCCAGAACCACTGCAGAGGATACAGTACCTTTGGATTTTCCTAAGGCTGCATGGGCAGAAACACATAATTATTAGTGTGATAAAACCCCTAAAACTGGTCAGTGCACAGAGTGAGAGCCCAATGCTGGGCAGAGGAGCTGTGAGGCCCAGGGGCTTAGACAGAGGGCACAGTGGGGACCAGGCTATGCCAGTGGGAGGGACAGTGTGGGACATTTTCTGGAAATGGGGACTTTTTTTTGGATGAAGCGAACATTGGGGTGTTTTCTGGAATTGACCTGTGAGGCAGCATGGGGAGGACATGCACAGGCTGGGAATGGGGAGCTTTCCCCTGGAGCAAAGCCTGCAGACCCTGAGGACACCAGGGCACCTGTCTGCAGCACAGCCCAGCCTTGGTGTCACACCACAGGCCACCCCACTCCCATCTACAGTGGGCTGGGGGTGGGAGTCAAACCCTGGGCTCACCTGAGCATCCTCAAGAGGCTGGTACAGAGAACAGGGGGTTCTCCCACCCCAGGACCACCCAACCTCCACCAGCTCAACGCCACCCCGTCCCGCGGTGGCGGCAAAGCCAAGGATGCTGAACATCCTCTCCAGGTGCCCCCAGGATGCTGCTCCTATCACAGGGACACTGGCAAAGCCACCACCTCCCTCTCCCCAAACCCTGGCACTTCAAAGACCCTACCCATCCTTCTTGTAGAACTCCAGCATCATGTTGTCCGTGGCCACGCTGAGGGGCCGCCGTGCCTGGTCGTGCTGCCGGCGGTCGGCGTGGTCCATGTCCGGGGAGGGCATGGAGCTGTAGTTGGCATTGTGGTTGACATGCATGGGGCTGCCATAGTTGCCTGTCACGTTGAACTCAATGTCTGGAGGAGGGGGAAAGGAGCAGGGAGGGATGATGTCGGGATAAGTGTCCTCAGTGAGGGGATACTGGCCCCGCAGAAACACCCGTGGGGGTCTCGGGTTGGGCTCACTGCTGTGAGTCTTGCCAGATCTCTGCCCTGCCCCTGCCCCAAGCCAAGGCAAGCAGAGAGGGCCGGCAAAAATAAATCTGGGAGCTCCCTAGGGAGAGCCAGGACGTCCCACAGAGCCCATGCTGCCCCCACAGCCACAGCTTACCTCCTGGGAAGAACCAGTCGGCGTGCTGGATGAGCGGCTCGATGATGCCCACGATCTGCAGCGACACGGTCGTCATCATCTCCGTCATGTTCCTGCAAGGTGGTGGGCAGCACAGCAACCTCAGCCCCTCAGCAACCCCATCGCAGTCCAGCCTTATTTCCAGTGGGATTTGCCCCCAGTTTCCCCCTCAGCCCCTTCCCCAGCATCCCCCTGTCCAGCTCCTCACCCTTCTGCCTGTGGCCAGAGGAGGTTGGGCCCCAGCACGATGGCCACGTTGCTCGGTGTCATTTTGTTCATGTCCTGGTACTCGGTCAGCTTGGCCAGGAATTTAATCACATACCTGGAGGGCAGATCCAAAACATGTCCATGTATTTACTGATCACACCCTCTCTGTCCCCTCCCTGTGTCCTGCTGGCCCCAGGCTCACCTGATGTTGTTGTAGTTGGCTTTGGGCAGCTTCTCACAGGCGTTCCAGAGAGCCTGGAGCCGCTTCTCCTGCTCTGGGATGCTGTGAGGAGGTGTGAGAGAATGTTATCCCTCATCCCCACCCCACCCCTGGGCTTTAGACCCCTCCACCCCTTGCCCTGGGGGACCCTGAGAAACCCCCAGGCTGCTGCCAATGCTATAAAAGTAAATTAATCCCCAAAACCTGGTGAAAAGGAGAAGGAAACCTTTTCAGTGGAGGTTGGATGCCGGGCCTCTCCCCACCTTCTGGTTCTCAGTCCCCGGGAGAAACATCCCAAATGTTGTGAGCCATGTCAGAAATAACCCATGGCCCCTGAACGATCCATGGGGACCCAAGATGCCACCACTTGTGTCACAGAGGAATGGGGGAGATGCCCCAGACTCACTTGGAGGCCTGGATCCACTCCTCATACAGCTCAAACGTCATGAGGGGCTCCGGCAGCTCTCGCAGGTAGGACTTGAGGGCTCCTGTGGCACACAGGGGACACAGGCATTGGCACTGCGGGTGGCACCAGCTGTTGGGCACCAAGTGGTTTCGCTCCTGGGCATTTTGACTCCATCCCTCCCAACCTTCCCACCCACCACACCCCAGAGCACCCGCTAGTCTCCCCGGCTTGGTGGAGCCTGTAGCACCCCCTGACCTCCAGCAACCACCTGGCCACCCCCACTAGTCCCTCCCAGCATCTCCCTGATTCCCTCCACCAGGCATTCTCCCAGCTCTCCCTCATTTGTTTTTGCTTAGGACATTAAAAGCTCCTTGTGCTGGGAACAGGTTCCCAGTGGGAAACCAGGGTCCAATCCTGTGCCTGCAGGAGCGCCTGGCCCCCTCTGCCCATCTCCAGCCTGTCCAGGTCCCTGTGGATGGCAGCACAACTGTGGGGCAGCCCCAGGTTGTGTCATCTGCCAGCTCACTGATGGTGCATCCTGCCCCATCGGCCAGGGCGTTAATTAATGGTGTTAAACAAAATCAGACCCAGTATCAACCCCTGGACTACACCACTAGTTACTGGTATCCAACTAGACTTCGTGCCACTGACCCACCCTCTGGGTGCCCACGGTGGGTGCCTGGATGGGCCACCCCCCACACCACCAACCCCCTGCCCTGAGGAGCCCTCACCTGCGATGGCATGAGGGTCAGCTGAGTACTCCTGCACGTCCACCACGCAGCAGTCCAGGGCTGCCTTCAGCTTCTTCAGCTTGGAGGCCGAGGGAGCCACTCGGAACAGACCCTTGGCAGAGGACACGGGACAGCGTCGCACAAGCTTTGGGGCTGGGGGTGTCCCCAGATCCCTCCAGTTCCTCATCCCTGCCCCAGAGGCACCCATGGCCCCTTCCATCGAGCCCAGCAAGGGTGGTTGGACATGGGACCCACCTCCTCCTGCATCCCACACTCCAGCAGCATGGTCACACACGCCTCCACGGGGAAGGCGATCTCCCGCCCGCTGACAGCCAGGTGCTCTTCCAAGGGCTTCCCAAAGGAGGGCTTCTCCATCCACGCCTCTGTGACGGGCAAAGGGGGTGACAGGGTGAGGAGGATGGTGCTGGATTCAGCATCCCTTCCCTGAAAGGCTCCTGGTAGCAAAATATTCCATTTGGGTGATGCTAAAATAACAGGACCATGACCCTCTGTCCTGGGCAGCTCAGGAAGTGCTTTTTAAACATAAAATCCAAACAAAATGTTTTCCAATCATCACATGGGACATTTCAAAGGGGCTGGATAACATTTTCCAGGGCGGGCAATGACAGGCAAACCTTTGCAATATTTCTCCCTTCTTCCATCACAGTTAGAGACAGGAATATTTTGTGGGAACGAGAGAAAAAACCCAAACGAATCCTTCCCTGCCCCATTGCAGTGATGGCAGGACCCTGAGCTCTGCCTTGTGAAGGAGCTGCTCCTGGGGCCATCATGTGGGTCTCACCCCAACCTTGGGCTCCAAGCCCAGTGCCTACAGAGGCTGCACATCACAGAGTGACACCCCAAGCCTCCCCTTGGCGCTGGGGTTGGCATTAGGGCAGGAGGTGGCATTCAAAATCAAACCTATAACTATGGAGTTTATCTGATTACAGCTCCCTGCTGCTTGCTGATAAATCAGAGTTTTTGCAGCACCGCCAAGGCTGCTTTGATTTTTCCAAGGTATCCTCTACAGTTCTTCACTTTGAGAGGGAAGAGGGTATTATTAACACAGGAAAAAACCACCTTAAAGTGGACAGGATTCATTGCCAGGATCATAAAATCATGGTTTGAGTCAGAAGGGACTTAAAAGACCATCTGGTTCATCCCTCCTGCCATGTGCAGGGACACCTTCCACTAGCCCAGGTTGCTCCAAGCCCTGTCCAACCTGGCCTTGGACACTTCCAGGGATGGGGCAGCCACAGTTTCTCCGGGCAGCCTGTGCCACAATCAGGCAGGTTCCCCCTTTCCATGAAGCTGGCTGAATCCTGCACCCCACAGCCAAGTGGGGTAGGGATGGGATGCCCTCCCCAGCACCAGAGCAGGCGGGATGCAGACAGGGCAGGCAAAGGGAGGATGCTCAGCCACAACACTGCGGGGTCACCCCAGGGCCAGCTCTGGTGCTGGCCTGACACAGGGGCCTCAGTGTCATGTGCAGGACCAGGACAGACCCCGTGGGCACTCACCCTGCTGGGCTTTGATCTGGGGCAGCACGTTCTGCAGGAGCGCCAAGGACTTGCGGTGGTACTCGGCCTGCACCTCGATCAGCTGCGGACACACGGCACCGGCGTCACCCCCACGGCCGGGGACGGGGACAGAGACAGGGACAGGGACACAGGGGGACAGGGACACAGGGGGACAGGGACACGGGAGCCCCACGGGGACGGGCGGCACTTACAGTTTGGAAATAGTTTGCATAGTCTACTTCTTTGGCCACAAAATTGTACATGTCAGCCGAGAGCTGGTCCTGCGGAGAGCAGAGGATCAGTCACCGTCCCGCTCGTGCTGCCCTGGTGGCACCTCAGGGGGTCACCAGGAGGGACCAGCTTGGTCACACCAGGAGCCAGCGTGGCACAGTGCAGCCCCCACTCGAGATGTGCTGGGGATGTTGAGTGTATGGCAGCACCACGGGGATTTGCTCTCTGCCACCACACAGACACCTCCCACCTCACCCCCTGTACCTCCTTCCAGAGCCCACAATTTTCCAGCACCGTGGAAATTTCGCGCTCGCAAAATAAGACTTTGCCACTTCCCGGATTACTCCTTTCCGAGAATCCCTTGGGATAATTCAACTGGAGGAAAACCATCAAGGCTTTGAAACACATTCCAGCTGCAACATCCAGCACCAGTGCAGTGACTGTACTGGGGGCAGTTCCCGGCTGCACTTGTTTGCTTGGAAATTGCTGGGTGTGCGGGGCTGAGATGCCCCAAGATGGGGAGACACAGCCCGAGTTTGTATTTCAAAGGATGTGGGTTCTGTTTGTGTCCCTGGAGGACAGAGCCAGGATTTGAGACACTCACACAGCTCCATCTCCTGCCCCCAACCTGCCCAATGCCACAGCACCAGGTTTGCCCAGCCCTTCGCATCTTCTGCCCCAGGAGAATTCAAAGCCACACAAAACTTCCAGTGGGTTTTATCACTCAATCCCATATTCCATGACAAAGGTGCTGGCTGCAGTGTGTCCCCCCGGCTTGGACACTTCTCCCACCCAGCCTGACCAGCTGGGGAGATCATGGCCCTGTGAGATGGTGGGGGGTGATGTGGGCTTGGCACATGTCAGCACTTCCTGCAGGTTTGGGGATTAAATTGTTTACTTACAGAATATTAGAAATTAATTGTGTGATTACTTGGGGTTCATTTGCATCACAGTGGGCCCTGCTCAGAACTTAGTGTGAGCAGGGGAGGAAATGGAGCCTGGATCCACTTATCCCACCAGATAAGAGGACTCAAGGGAAAAGACCTTCAAGAACAGGCAACAGAAAAGGCATGAGACCTTGGTAGAGATAAGGTGGAGGGTAAACATAAATCAAGCTTGTTACTGAGTTACATCAGCCAGAAGGTAAGAACAGTTATTGACCTGCCTGTGTGGGCATGGAGAGAGAATCCAGGGAGGTATTAGAGAACCCCAGACCCAAAATCACCAGAGGACCAAGAGGTGTGAGCATGGGAAGAATGGGGACATTAAAAAGTCCCAGATTTTCTTTGTTCAGGGTCCCTGAACAGCTCCACCAGATGGAGTTGTTCCCACTGCTGTACCACTCAATTATTAAATTATTTTTCCCTGGAATTGGATGTCTGAGACTCTTCTGTGGGAAATCTAAAGGAGAGAAATTTCTCTAGCAATTTGGTGACCCAGGTGGAATCCCAGGCCACCACCTTCAGATCCTCCCATCTCCAAACATCCAACTGGCAGCAGTGGGTGAGCTCACCTGGGACCTGCAGAGTGGGAGGCACTCAAGGGTTAGTGTTACAATTCCCTGAGCAGATTTGGTGAAGATACTGTGGGTTTGAGACCCTCTTAGTGTTAGAGAGCCCTGCACCTTGTTTATAGTGCACAGCCTGAGCAGTGCAGGGGGTCTGAGACCCTCATGAGGTGCACACAGAAGGGGGACCCGAGTCCCCCTTAACCCACAGAAGGAGGTTCAAGTCCCTCTTAGCACTTGAAAATTATGGGAAATAAATCCAGCACAGAGAAGGGAGAGAAATGTCTCTAACAGCAGGACTCTGGGCCAGGGCTGGGTGTGCTCAGTGCTGAGCTCACTGGCTCCTGCCAGGATGGGTCCCCTGGGAATGGGATACTCTCCAGCTCCAGTGGGATAAGGAGGATGGGGACAGAGGAAGTGGGGATGCCCTGCTTGGCTGGTGAACATCACCCACTGCCACCAGGCTGTGTCTGGGGATGGGGACCAGCACAGGCAGTGGGGTAAGAAAAGAAGAGCAGGGTAAGAGGAGAGGCTGCAGGTTTTCCACAGTGTCTGGGACACCAAGGTCATTCCCCCCAGCAAGGATTGGTCCCCCCAGGAGCCCTGGGTACCCTGCAGATCTCCACTCTGTTGGCTGCCTCCTCCATCTCCTCCCTGAGAGCGTCGGCTTTGGCGCCCGAGGGTTGCAGGTTGCTGGCCAGGCCCGAGGACTTCACGGACTGCTGCCACCTGTGGAGAGGGCAGAGCTGTCACAGGGAGGGACAGGGACCTGTAGGGACCAGGGAGCACATGCCAGCAGACTTGGAGGGCAGCGCAGGGACACCTCTCAGCCAAGCCCACCGTGGTCCCCAGGGCTGAGCATGATCCCAGTCCAACTGGGATGCAGCATCCACTACCAACCCCAGCCATTCCCCATCCCCACAGCCAGATGTACACTCGGGGCTCTAATGAAGCCATTATTCTCAGCAGGATAATGAGCCTCATCCAGGTGGGGGGAGAGATAAAGGGACACTTGTCAAACCTCTCCCCAGGATGTGCTGTGAAGTGGGGCCCTGGACAACTCAGAGGTGCCACAGGACAATCCCTGCAGTGGCAGGAGCAACCAGCTCTTTGCCAGCACATCAGAACTCACCAAGATAGGGAAAAGAGGGAACAAAATACAGATTTCTGCCAGAAAAAAAATACTCTTTTGCTGCAGAGGGCAGGCAAGGAAAAGGAATCCATGGATTCTGCAGACAGGAGCAGAAATTGTGGCTCACTGCAGAGCTTGACTTCAAGGCACACAGTGACACAGCAGACACTTCCTGACCCAAGGGAACTGCAGTGCCAGGAGTCCAGGACCTGCTCTCCCTGGAGCTAATCATCCCTTGGGAATTCTTATTTTTCATAAAGCATTTGAAGCCACTTCCTACCTCGTCCTGGAGGAGTCCATGTCCAGCACGAGCTTTGCCAAGTGCTTCCTCTGCTTTTGGATATTTGGGATTTCCACCTGCAGCGACACACAGGAATGGGAGGAGACAAATATCCCTGGAGAGGTGTCCAGGGATGGGTCACTCACACTGGGGGTTTGGGCAGGGGCAAGATAAGGATGCAGCTCCTTCTTTTATCATCATCATCAGGGAGATGGCACAGCTCATCCCTCCTCTGTGTCCCCACAGGGACTGTGCCACACCTTGACAGCCCCAACTGCAGAACCCAAGAGGAGCATCCTTGAGAGATCAAAGCTTCCTGCCCTGGGGAGCTGGATGGGGGAAGGAAAAGGGCTTTTGGGGATGGCAGTTCAAAGCCCCCCATGTATGGCCACCACTTCCCAAAGGATTTGGTAACAGTTGAAAGCCCTGGACACCAGTAGTGCCTCAAAGCTTCTGCTTCTGCTGGGGAAGACAAAATCAGAACCAAGCCCAGGATGTTTTTCTGGGTATAAAAGCAGGGAAAAAATCATTGGGTAAAATTGAAAAACAAAGTCGGCAGCAGGGTAGAAAAGGAGGGGGGGGACAAAAATCCCAACACCAAAGAGTGTTTGGAGCTTAGAAAAATGGGTCTGAAACAACAGTGTTAACTCACTGCCCTTGGGAAAGGCAGAAAGGAGGAAGAGCAGTGGGAGCAGGGGAAGGAGCCAAGCAGGACACGCTCCAGCACCAGCCCAGCTCCAGGAACCCACAAGCTGCCCAAGGGGTGCTTTCCCCAGTGAGATGTGAGTCCCCAGCACGGGGACACCCCCACCCAGTGACACCCCCACGCTGCTCACCTCAGCCAGCACGAAGAGGGGCTCGATGACGTCTCTCTCCACCTGCAGCTCGAAGTGGATGAGCTCCTGTGCCAGCTTGTCCTCGGCCTCCCCGCACAGCCGCAGCATCTTCCTGCAGGGACACGGGCACAGCTGGGCACTGTGGGGCTGGGGGACAGGGGGTGGCTGTCCTGCACCCACGGGGTGGGCAAAGGGCACCCAACACCCCTGTGGTGAGGGGCAGCCTGTCCTTGGTAGAGGGCTGGAGAGAGGGGGACCGTGGGCACTGTGGGTGTCAGGAAATCTCATTCCCCATTCCCTAAATATTGTACCAGTTACAGTCTGAAGTTATATGGACTTTGTTAAGAATTATATACCTATAGGTACATAGTTTCTTAAGTTATAGATATATTAAGTTACTTAAGATATATATCCACACATAGTTTACATTGTATACTGCATGACCAAAGGACTTTGTTAAGAATTATACAAATATTTGTACAGTTTCTTAAGTTATGTATATATTAAGTTACTTAAGATATATATATATATACACACACACTTTACATCGTATACTGCATGGCCAAAGGACTCCAGCTCACAATAAGGAGAAGAAAAAAGGAAACCCCTGCACTAAGGAGCTCCCAGGAGCACCCCCGCCCTCCCAAACTGCTGTGAAACCCTCCCTGTTATCCAGCACCACAGACAAGGAACAGCAGCAATTCCTGGCAGCAGCACCCCAGCACCCCCCAGCAGTGTCAGAGCTCTGGGGCAGCCCCAGGCCCCCCTTACCCCAGCAGGGAGTCATCTCCCAGCACAGCAGATCCCTCCATCAAGCACTGGGCCAGCGTCGTCAGCGGCAGCTTCTTCTGCAAAGAGAGGGGCTGCGTTCCCACCCCGGCACCCCCGGAACCCCCGGAGCCCGTGGCCCCCCTGGAGCCCCTGGAGCCCTCACCGAGCGCTTGTCGGCGTCCACGCCCTGCTGGCCCTGCAGACATGCTGTCAGCTTCTTGTGGGTGCTGTGGGACACCTGCTTCACCAGCTCCAGGCGCTTCTCCACCTGCGGATGCACCCGTGTCCATCCCCTGGGAATCCCACCTGGCCCGGGCAGGGACACAGGGGACTCCTGGCTTTGCCATCGGAGTGCTTTGAATTGTTGCTCTCTTGGATGTGACAGCACCAGAGACCAAAGCCATCCCAGAGCAGAGATGCTGCTGCTCCACCCGGCCCTGGATCTGGAGCAGCCTCCAAAGCCCAGTGTCCATCCCCTGCCAATCACTGAAAATCACCTTATTTGCCTCTGAATTGATTAAATTAAGTAATTCATCCCAAAACCTCAGCGAGATGAGCCATTAAATGTAAGCAACCAAGATCTGTCGAAAAGCAAAGCTGAGAGATGTGGGGAAAACATGGAAAGCTCAAAATTTGGGGATACAATGTGGAAAAAGAGAAATAGGCTCTAAAGTTCAAAACCTTGGGAAATGATCCAGGGGGAAGAAAAGAAATATTCCCTGCCTGAGCCTGCAGCAAGTCCTCGAGGCAGGAGGCACCTCACGAGAGCCTGGCACTCAGGCTGAGTGATTTTCCATCACTATAGTAATACATATTACTAATAATATATACTATATGTAAATAATATTTAAAATATTATATATATTTAACAAATAATAAATTTTCAGGATGTCTGGCTGAGGTGGAGCAGTCTCTGTCCTCTTTGTTCCTTTCAACATACACATGGACATGTATATATATAAAATTATATATATATAAATTATATATATTATATATAAATTATGTATATTATACATAAATTATATATATTATATATACACACATGTTTGTGTATATGTTGGAAAGAAGAGGTATGATGGTCATGTGGGTGTGCACCCATCTAAATAAGCCAAACTGGAGTTAATTAGATAAAGACCCCTGCAAACAAGACTGGTCCTTTGGGAGACACCTGGACAAGGTGGCACTGACCACCCTCCCCACTGAATTACCACCAAAAGATGTAAAAATCCCCTGTGTGACATTGTTGGAGCCAGAGATGTTCCAAGGGCTGGAGGAAAGAAGGTTCCAGGGAGACCTTAGAGCCCCTTCCAGTGCCTAAAGGGGCTCCAAGGGAGCTGGAGAGGGAGTTGGGACAAGGGCCTGGAGGGACAGGAAAAGGGGGAATGGTTTCACCCTGACAGAGGGCAGGGTCAGATGGGATATTGGGAAGAAATTCCTCTCTGTGAGGGTAGGGAGGCCCTGGCACAGGTTGCCCAGAGAAGCTGTGGCTGCCCCATCCCTGGAAGTGTCCAAGGCCAGGCTGGATGGGGCTTGGAGCAACCTGGGCTAGTGGAAGGTGTCCCTGCCCATGGCAGGGGGTGGAATGAGTTGATCTTTAAGGTCCCAACCCAAACCACTCCATGATTCCATGAATTCAGTGATGGATTTGTGAATTCACATCCCTTTGCTGGCACTTTCCCTCCTGGGGCATGCAGGAAGCCAGGAGACATGACCTGGGCATCACAGCTGCTAATCCAAGGCACCACAGGAGGCTTTTGGCTCGGGCTGGTTTGCTGAAATCACCCAACCCATCAGCTTTGGGAACCATCCCCTGCTGTCACATGTCCCTTCCCCAGGGCAGGATACGGAGAACAGGCGCCCACAATCTGGCTGGCTGGATCAGGTTGCCATCCTGGCAGAGACAAGACTGGATCCGATTCCAGCTGACCTGGAAACCAGGCTGGGAAAGGGCCAGGAGGCACGTGGGAGGGAGACACTGCTGCTTCCCACGCTCCCAGCCCCCTCCTCCTCCTCCCAGCCCGTCGCACTCCTGTGGGACGCTGCAGCACAGACCAACGTGGAGCTGCTGATCCATCCAGCACCCAGAGGTGGGTGCCCAGGCACCCATGGACACCTGGGAATGGGTCAGACCTCACAGAGGACCTCACCTGCAGGAGATCTTCGCTCAACACTTCAGTCTTCTCAGCTCTGCAAGACAAGAAAGAGGATAAAGCATTGGTGACGGGTCTGACACACGTGGCTGCACACCATGTACACCCAGAATGTGCTTTTCCATTGGGATGCAGGTGGTGGTTTGAGGATCTCTGGTCTCATCAGCTATCGGCTCATCTCCTAAAGAAGCAAAGGAACCACGTCTAAAGCCTTTTAGAAAGTGTAAATCAGAGAATCACAGAATGGTTTGGGTTGGAAAGGAGCTCTTGGTGGCTCCCTGCCATGTACCACACCAATGTAGGGTCCACTGCTGATCTCTCACTTATTTATTCATCATCCCCAGCAAAACAGGGGTGCTAAATTCCCAGAAGGAAGCAGGCAGTGCTGCAGAGGGAGGTGGTGTGTCTGCACAGGAAAGCAGCTCCCTGGGCTCTGCACACCCTCAGCACTGAGGATTTCAAGGACACAGCCCGTCCGCACGGCTGAGCCTCCTCGGACCGACGCAGCCACTGGATCTGAGGCGGCAGCTGCTGCCTGAGGCCTCGCCAGAACCCTTCCTGCTGCTCACTGGGGATGGACTTACTGCTCCAGAGCCCGTGTCATCCGCTGCCTTCGCTAGTGAGGAGCGCTGGGGGTGCAGAAGGAGACACAAACCCGCCATCCCTGGCCCTGTGTGCACCCGCAGCGTCCTGCCCGCAGAGCCCGCGGCTGCTCCGCACCACATCTGCTCAGCCTCATTTCAACCATCACACTCCGGATCATTTATTCATTTTCCCAGGGTTTTTAACAATGTCAGGGCATCATCTCGCTTGGAAAAATGAGCTCTGTCAAGATGTGCTGAGGCAGAGCTGTGATTCAGCCAATTAGTCCCTAAAGGTTTGTTAACGAACAGCAAAAGCTTGGTGCTCTCATCGCTTAAAAAACACCCTTATTTCCTGAGCCCTGGTCTCTTTCTGCCATCCAAGGTGGTTTCTCAGGTTGGAAAGATGGGGGGAATTATTGAAACAGTGGAAATAAGGAGCAAATACAGGCAGAGCAAGGTTCAGAGAGCGAGCCTGGCACGGCAGCAGCTCATCCACAAATACACCACAAAAGCCTTTTAGAAAGTGTAAATCATAGAATCACAGAATAGCTTGGGTTGCAAGGGACCTTAAGGCTCATCTTGTTCCACCCCCTGCCATGGGCAGGGACACCTTCCACTAGCCCAGGTTGCTCCAAGCCCTGTCCAACCTGGCCTTGGACACTTCCAGGGATGGGGCAGCCACAGCTTCTCTGGGCAACCTGTGCCAGCACCTCACCAAATCAACTGTATTACATCTACTTTGTGTATTAAAGCTGTCCCAGCATCCGATTTAAATTGGTTTAAAAAGAAATTTAAAAAGAAATAAATTTTAAACCCCCTATTTATTTTAATTGGGGAGAAAAGGGATTTAAATAAGCATATTTAAATGAACATCTATAAGAAGCACAAGTGATGCGCTGCTTGCCCGGCAGCAAGAGCTGATCAGCTTCTCCTCCTCTTCTGGAAATCACCTTCACTTTATTTAGACAGGGCTGGAAACGCTACAGAATTAGCACAAACAGGGAAAAAAGCAGCAAATATCCACCAGCACAGACACAACGGCCGTTCCTGCTCCCCCGCCCGGCTCGGGATATATTTAGCATCCCAAAGGAGTGGGAGGTGACAGTGAGTCAGGTGAGCGTTGCACAGCCACAGGCAGGCACTGCTGGTGCACGTCCCTGCTGCTCCCTCGGCACCCCGGGAATCCTTTCCAAACTTTACCATAAAAAGTGATTTTTTTTTCCCATGTGTTTTCTCCTCTTCCAGCCAGGCTGGGGGATGGGATTTGCACATCCCATGTCCCTGCACTGCCAGGTTTCTCTCCCAGCAGCCACAAACCAACCTGTGCTACAATTTGATGTGTATTTTGGAAACAGAAAATGATGATTCAAAGAGAAAACCAAAAATCTGGCCTTGATCTGCTTTTAAGCTCATCCTCAGTGTGAGAAGCCCCAGTGGCTTTAACGGAGAGCAACCTCCTGGCACAGCCCCCCATGCACATTCCAGGATGCTCAAGCAGGTTGGGGAACCTGCCAGTGATTAAGTTGGCTTTAAAAAGGGAAAAAAACAGGCTGCAGCATTTTATGGATGGGAATAAGCAAAGAGGCCCTTGGAGCTGCTCAGCACAGCTGCCCAGGGCTGTGGCAGAGCGATGGGCACACGGCAGGAGCAGGGGTTTCCCTGCCTTATTTTGTCATTTGTGGGAGCTGGGATGCTTTCCACAGAATCACAGAATCAACCAGGTTGGAAAAGACCTCTGAGATCATCCAGTCCAACCCATGACCCAACCCCACCTTGTCACCCAGACCATGGCACTGATGCCACATCCAGGCTCTGCTTAAACACCTCCAGGGACGGGGACTCCACCCCCTCCCTGGGCAGCCCATTCCAAGGGCTGATCCCTCTCTCTGGGAAGAACTTCTTCCCAAGGTCCAACCTAAACCTGCCCTGGTGCAGCTCAAGGCTGTGCCCTCTTGTCCTACTGCTGGTTCCTGGGAGCAGAGCCCGACCCCCCCCGGCTCCCCCCTCCTGTCAGGGAGTTGCAGAGAGTGAGAAGGTCTCCCCTGAGCCTCCTCCTGTCCAGGCTGAGCCCCCCCAGTTCCCTCAGCTGCTCCTCACAGCACTTGTGCTCCAGACCCTTCCCCAGCCTCGTTGCCCTTCTCTGGACCTGCTCCAGCCCCTCCAGGGCCTTCCTGAACTGAGGGGCCCAGAGCTGGACACAGCACTCGAGGTGTGGCCTCAGCAGTGCCCAGTCCAGGGGCAGAATCACTTCCCCTGCCCTCCTGCTTGTGATGGGGATGGGGGTCCCTCTGTGGACACGCCACAGCCACTCAGGCTGCAGTGGGGGGGTTGGTCACGGCAGTGGGAGCCAGGTGCCACATCCTGCCAGTGCTGGGCACCAGCATCCAGAGCCAGGAATCATCCTGCTCCCACACCGTGGCTTCCCCAGCGAGGTAAAACATGGCCCCAGGAGCCACCACGGGGCGTTTTTCCACAGCCAAAACTGGGGACAAGTCTCTTCCCCAGGCCACCTGGATCCTACAGGTGATGCCACCAGCAGCCACCACAAAGAGCTCCAGCTGCAAAGCCTGGCCCTGGGATGCACCAAAAAAACTCGAGTAATTCCCCCCAGAGCAAGTCTCTGTACTCGTCCTGCTGGCAGCACTCTGGAACCTACAAATCATCTCCAGGAGCACCAGAACCGAGTGGCACCTCCAAACCCCCAGCATGCCCAGCCCAACCTCCACGTGGCCATTTAATGTGTAAAACCTAAAAATTAACATCCTTCCACTCCCCTGACATCGCACTGCGCTCCAGCTCCGTGCTGCTAATGCCTCCAGGAAAAATCCCATTATATCCCTTACGTTTCTAACGTTAAATAGTTTTCAGCCTAAAGTTAATGTGGTTTTACAGGAGCTTATATGGTTTTATGAGCCATCCTGTGAGCCTGAAGCAAGTGATGCTCGGAGGCAAATGCACACCCTGCCTGGGAGCAGCCAGGGAGATGAGACTGTCCTGCACATCCCTGGCTCTGTCCTGCCTGCCTTGGAGGGTATTTTTTGGGTGCTGAACACTTGATCAACATTAGAGATGCTCAAGGAGACCCCAGTGCCACCTCTTTGGTACCCAGGGATTTTCCCAGGGCACCCAGTGGCATTTTCTGGAGCAGTGGGATGGCAGCATCTCCCTGGGATTTCGGCAAAGCATCTCCAGCAGGCTCAGCCCTGAGCAAATCCACAGCCCTGAGCATCTCCACTCAGCTCAACAAATCCTGCTTGGTGCTTTCTTCTCCCTCCCATACTGTGCTCCAAGCAATGCCCCACTCAAGGATGGGTGAGGGTCCCTGTGCCCTCCACAAACTCTCTCGCCTTCGCTTCCCATTCCCAGGGAGAACCACTTGTTGAAACCCTCTGGATTCAGGAGCCCCAGCTCCCAGTTTACTCTCCAGAGCTGAGTTCAGACCCTGTGGGACTTTGGAGCCCAAAGCACAAAGGCACTTCTGAAATCGCAGCCCTGCAGAAACCCCCCGACAGCCCAAGAGGGACCAATCTGGATGTGACTGATGCTGGGAAACGTGTCTGGCTCCAGCAGAGATGCCCTCCCTGTTCCAGCCTGGCATCTTGATCCCAACCAAGGAAACCCTCAGCCCCTCCAGGCACACCCGAACCCATCCCCAGCACCTCTCAGTTCCTCCCCAGCACCCCCCAAAGACCTTCCTCAGCAATCCTCAGCCCCCTCAGTTCCTCCCCAGCAACCTCCCAGCCTATTCCCAGCAGCCCACCATCCTTCATCCATACCTGCCACACCCCAGTCTATCCCCAGCACACCCCCAGTCCACCCCCAGCACACCCCCAGTCTATTCCCAGAACACCCCTCAGCCCATCCCATTCCCCCCAGCCCCACCTGACACCCCCCAGTTCCTCCCCAGCACCCCCAATCCATCCCAGCCCGCTCGGTGCCCCATTCCTGGAGTCAAAGAGATCCCTGAATTCCATCTCTGCCGTGGGCTGACTGTCATCCCAATCCCAAGGGACCCCAGGACCTGCTCAGGCCCACAGGAGGCAGTTGAGCTCCTGCCTGCACAAACCCATCTCCTTCCCAAATTGCTATCGAAGCAATTCATGGGGGTTCCAGAGCCCCCCCAAGGGGGAGCAGAGGGGAGACTCTGATGTACCCCAGACTCCCACACCCTGGGGTACATCAGTCCCCCTCCCTCACACCCTGGCAGAGTTCAGGGCCCATCTGTGCCTACCCCAAAACCCCAGACCCTGAATGATGCTCAAGGGTCTGGTGTGTGGGAAGGGGTGATCCGGTGGCTGCAGCTCCCATACATCAGAGCAGGCAACTGGTGGCACCAGCAAAACATGTCCTCTGGGCACCAGTTTAAGCCAGGACCAGCTCTGGGCCATCCTTTACACCCATTTATTTCCATCCCCATGTCTCCCAGGGTGAGTCCCCAGGGCTCCTGTGCTGGCTCACGACTTCCCCAGGGAACCAGAGACGGTGGGTTTTGACCATGCAAGGCGTCCTGAGCAAAGGACAGCACCCAAGGGAGGGGTGCAGGGACCCCCAATTTCCCTGGCTGGTCCCTAATCTCCCAAAACTTCATGCCATACGAGTTCCATGCATCCTGTGGGAGCATCCCTTGGAGAGGCAGCCAGCAGCACCAGCTCTCAATGCTTTCTTTCCTCTTTCCTTTTAGCAAACAAAAGCCTGCTCCTCCCCTTCCCCTCCAGGTTTCCAGCACCCCGGGGCTGTTTTTCCCAGCACAAACCCAGGCAGGCACTCCTCAGCCAGCACCCAGACACTCAGTCCCTGCAAGCAGCTGGGAGGAAAAAGGACAATTAATACAGAGACTTAAAACAAATGAGCAGGGGATGCAGCCACTGTGTGGTCAGGCATTGGCTTCTGCAAAAACTAACTGCTGCCAGCAGAAATCAACACCAATCAAGCAAATTATGTTGATTCCCACATAAATACATGACTTTCCAGTGCCTTGACCAGGGGAGGTACAGCAGAGCCAGTGCTTCCCCAGAGCATCTGCTGATGCCAGACAACTCCTTCTGGCTGGACAGTCCATCACCAGTGCCCACCCCGTGTCCCTGCCACTGTCCCCCTCCGACGCTCCAGCCACCTGAGACAACGAGCTGCCAGCCTGGGATTTGACCCTGAGCCAGCAAAACTCCAAACACAACAAGGATTTCATGGCAGTATTACCTCTGAGTGGGAAAAGCATCATGCCCGGCTGGTGGGCAGAGCTTCACCCGGCATGGGGACAGCAGGAGCAAGGATGCATCTCCAGAGGCACAGTGTGTCTGCCTCGAGGACCCTCTGGCCCACCCTTCCTGCCCAAAATACCCCTTTCACCCCACCCCTGGGCACCCCTCTCTGCAGTCTGCCCATAAATATTTAATCACTATTTAATTACCAAAGCTGATTCCCCCAAATTCTCCTTGCTCCAGCCTAAAAGTAACCTCCTGGCTGAGTGCAGGAGAGGAAGACATGAGGACCCAGCCAAGGCTGTCCCACGCCGGCAGTGTTCACTCCCATGGGTGGGTCTGCCCCACACCCCATGCAGCTGTGGGGTCAGTGCCCAGCTCCATCCTGGTCTTGCCACATCTCCCTGTGGTGCGGCTGCACCTGCCTGGTACCCATGGGAAAATTCCAGGTCCTGCAGCCCCCCAAGCCCAGAGGGTGAGGTTGGCGAGGTTGGCGAGGTTGGCGAGGTGAGGTTCAACCACGCAACTCAGATAAACCATTGAGGATCCACTGCATGTGCCAGAGGGAGGAGGAAGCTCCTCGGGTGTCATCCAGGAACCCCCTGGAAGCGCCGGGCATTGCAATCCAGGCTGGATGCTGGTCCAAGGACCGCGCCATCCTCAGCTCCTGTCGCCACCTGAGCTCTGCTGGCCACCACATCCCTGGGGACACACGATCCAGGGGTTCACAACCAGGATCTGCCGAGCCCAAACGGAGCTGCGGATTCTTCCCGGTGCCTTTTTAGCAGGCAAAGAAGCAAAACATCAAATATTTATATCCTCAAATCGCTGCTCAGATCCCTCGGGGAGACGATTCCGACGGCAACATCCAGCGAGACACGGTGAGACGGCCCCGCCGCCGCCTCCTCCAGCACTCCCTGGGCTGGTCCTGCCCATGGGTGACACGGTGTGACAGTCCCCATGTCCCAAACCTGCACCTGAAGGCAGTGATGCCCACCCAGCAGTCCCAGTGCCAGGGCTCAGCCCCTGGCAGCTCGCCCACCTTTGGCTGAGCCAGGCTGGAAAAAGCAGGATGACACAGGCAGGGAAGGCTGGTCCAGCTTTCCATCATCCTTCTGCCCACAGCTGGGAAAACCAAAGGAATCAAAGCAAAATGGGGGACAGAGTTTTAAAGGCAAATCCCCTCTTTTCCTCATCTCCTGCCCTTCTCCCAGCTGCGAGTTCTCTGTGTCTTCAGCACGGGATGTATGAAGCCTTTTGCTCCTGGCTGCTGGCACATCCCTCCCTGGGTCGCATCCTGACCGGGCTTTGATCCTGATTTAGAAATCATGGAGAAGCCTCTGCAGAGCGAAGAGCCCTGAGGCTGCTGGAGTGGGGACAAAACCTTCAGCCCGCTCCATGAATATTCCAGTTTGCCAGCGCTGCCGCCTGGTGAGGAGGATAAAAATATCCCCAAGGCTGCGGGGATGCTGCCGGCACCGGTGGCAGGGCCAAAATTCCCAGGGGGGTCTGCTGACAGAGAGTTACTGGCACCCCAAAGTGCAGATGGGGAGCCCAGCTATTTAAAGGGTGTTGTTCCCTCCTGCAAATCCCATCGGAAGAAATCCCAGGTGGTGCTTCTATTCCCTCTGTCCTTATTTTGTACAAGCGGAATAAAATGTCCTTATTTCTTGCCGAATATTCTTGCTGCACCAAGAATAAACCCTCAGTGTTTAGAGGTTTTGTACTGATGTGCAAATCCTGGTGCTGGGAAAAACATCTGCCCTGAGAGCCACCAAAGTGCCATCCAGACCAAAATGCCACAGCTTCCCTACCCCCCGGAATGGGGATACAGCGTGGGATGTTCAGGAAGGACTAGGAGGAAAAATCCAACCCCTCCAAGCTGCTGCCATGATCCCTGGTGTCCTCCATGCCCACTGTGCCGTTTGGGAACCCAGCTGCACGTGGCTGCAAGTGCCTGTTTTAATCCCAATGGAAAAAGACTCCATATTGAGCCAATTCTGGAAAATTCACAGGGCTGTTTGGAGTGGGTGGCAACACCCTCGTGCCATCATCCCATCACCTCAGAGCCAGGGTGGAGCTTCCACCAGTTCAGACCCCGATGGGATGGATAAATAAACACAAATAAAAATGAAAGCACTTTGCAAGAAACATCCTCAGAATGTTTTACAGTCACTTATTGATTTCTCTTCTCTCTCCTTTTTCCAGCCCATGGAGATAAATATTATGGCCCTTTTCAGACTGGGCACAACAATTGTCCCCAAGGTCGGGTACCAAGCACGGGGCTGGGCTGGGCTGAGCATCCCCAGCTCTTTCTATCAGTGAAATGACCAAAATAAAATAAAACAAAGAAGAACAAAGTAAAATAAAATAAAATAACATTAAATTAAAATAAAACAATACAATAAAATAAATACTGTGCTCAGGGCCCAGCAGAGCGTGGGGATGCTCCAGCTTGTCCTGTCACATAGACTGGTCACTCCAGCACCTGCAGGGGCTGCTGTTCTTCCCAGGGGGGTCAGGAGGTCCACACTGGCCCCCTAATACTGATCTTGACCCTTCCCTGACCCCAAACCCAGTTCTCATCCTTATCCTGATCCTGACCTTAACCTTGACTCTAAACCTAATCCTGACTCTAACCCTTACCTTATCCTAACTGTAACCCTGACCCTAACATTAACCTTGACCCTAACTCTAATCCTGACCCAAACCCTCATTTTGACCCTTATCTTAATCCTGACCCTGATCTTGACCCCAACATTAACCCTGACCCATGTGGCTGCAGATGGTCTCTCACTCCCCCCACCCCAGTGCCAGCTGAGGCCACCCCAGGGACAAAGGGCTGCTCCTGCCTGTCCCCTTCTGGCATCTGACAGATCCATGGAAAGGGTTTTCCCTTCAGCTGCCTGTTTTCTTCCATTTTTATTAAGAAAATTGCACCACCAGAAGCAGGAAAAGCCATCAGGGGTTGGGACTCAGCTCTGCCCACCCCGCAGGATGGCTGGGCAGATGTCCCTGCTTGTCCCCAGTGTCCCCCCAGCCTCCCCGCTGTGTCGGGGGGGGAACCAACGGGATCTTCTGGGAGCTGCCGGGATAGGAGACACAGACACACCAGCTGGATGCCACCACTGCCCCCAAGGCTCCCATCTCCCCCCAAGAGACAACCTCCACACAGCACAGACCCCAGCCCCAGGACAGCATCCACCCTGGTTGACCCCAGCCCCAGACTCAGGGGCACTGCCACTGCAGGGTGATGGTGGCCCACTGGGGTTTGGTGACAAGCAGGAGGGGCCACCCCTCAGACCCCAGAGAGTTATGGTGCAGGTACCCCAGCGAGCCTTTCCCAGGGGAGACAAAACACCAGGGTTCTATTACTATTCTTTATTTCCACTTATTATTCCTTATTTCCATTTATTATTTCTTATTTCCATTTATTATTCCTTATTTCCACTTTTATTCCTTATTTCCATTTATTATTCGTCATTTCCATTAATTATTCCACATTTGCACGTATTATTCCACATTTGCATGTCTTATTCCACATTTGCACGTGTTATTCCACATTTGCATGTATTATTCCCTACTTCCTTTTATTATTCCCTATTTTCATCTATCATTCCTTAATCCTATCTATTACTCCTGACTTCCAGCTGTCTGGAGAGGTCTGCTCAGGACTGCACAGTGGGAAGAGGGATAAACATCAGCCCGTGCTCGAGATGGGGACCAGTGGAGTAGGGCTGAGGAAGAGGATGGTCCCCGAGCTCCTCTTGCGCCCTGAGAAGGATCCAGCTGCCCCATCCCACCAAAGAGGGAGCCACATTCCCCACATTCATCCCAGCCCGGAGGTTCTGGCAGCAGGGGCAGCTCTGCAGGCAGCCGACGAGCCGGGAACCACCGGAGCCTCCCACTGCCCGTCACGAGCCGGCGTCGCAGGGAGCCCTAAGAGGATTAGGGGTTTAGCAGCCCCTCGGCCGCTGGCCCCGTTCCCTGGGCTGCAGGGAGCCGGCGCTGCCCCCGCATTCCCGGGGGATGCGGGAAGGAGGATGCTCCTCGCCGTGTCAGCGGCACCATTTTGAGGCCGGGCGTGCGCGCGGTGCCCGGCTCACGGCTCACGGCTCCCCGCGGGGGTGGGGGGACGTGGGGACACCCCTCCCGTGCGGGGGGCAGATGTGCCGAACCCCCTCGGAGACACAGCAAACCCCCTCGGGGCGTCCGGAGAGCGAACCTGGAGAAAATCACACGCCCTGTCCCCAGACCAGCCTCCTCCTGCTGCTCCCCCAAGGGAGGCAAGCGCTGCTCCCTCGGCGCTCCCGCACCACATTTCCACAACGTGATCCATGGGCCATGTTCCCTGGGCCACCCTCCCACACCACGCTCCTGCACCG